TACTGCATTCCTCTAGGTATTGTAAAGACATTGTATTCTATAAGTATGTCATTATCATGTTTACAATCTGATCCCTTGCTAAACTGTGTGCTGTTTGTTGGTCTGGATTGTGCCTAGATCTTTGGAGATTCTTGTTCACTGGATGTTAGTTGAACAAATTGACTCTTTATGCTTTGTGTCCTGCTCAACATCAAATAGAAATTGAGGTAGCAATCCTGTGTGTGGAGCCTCGGCAGCAACACGCTCAGTAGTCATGATCCTGCCCCAATAGTTTTTCATTCCACGTCTTTGTGTAAGAGAAAGCATATGAAAGGACTTATAGAAAGCAAGTTATAAACTGTCAATAAATTGTAGCTGTCCTTTCAATGGAAAGTTAGAGATGACCAAAATGATCCCAAGACCAAAACAGATAGACAAACAGACAGACAAACTAAAGTCTCTTTCTTGAAGTACAATCATGTTTTGAGCAAAAGTATGAGCAAAAAACTCATTTTTTAAATAGTAGTCTGGTATATTTTTGGATTTGAACCTTTTAAAAAGTTTTAAATTTATTTTTATTTTTAATTTAAAAAAATTTTCAAGCTTTATTGAGATATAATTAACATATAACATTGTGTAAGTTTAAGGTGTACAATGTGCTGATTTGATGTACATATATATTGCAGGATGATTACCACAATAAGTATCTGTTAACAGATGAATGGACAAAGGAAATGTGATATATATTCACAGTGGAATATCATTCAGCCATTAACAAGAAGGAAATCCTGCCATTTGTGACAACACTGATGAACCTTGGGGGCATTATGATAAGTGAAATAAGTCAGACAAAGAAATACAAATACTGTATGATCTCATTCATATTGGAATCTAAAAAAGTAGAATTCACAGAAAACAGTGAGTAGATTGGTGGTTTCCAGGGGCGGGAGTTAGGGGAGAGAGGGAGTGAGGAAATGAATGAGGTTGATCAAAGAGTACAAATTTCCATCCGAAACTTTTAATTGAACTCACATTTGCTGCTATGTGGCCTTGAACAACACTTAGATTGGAAAAGATGCACAAGGCTCCTTCCAGCATTGGTATTGCTTGATTCTACATGGCATTGTTGATCATTTATGTGAGCACAGAAATAAGTCCCCTCCCTTTTCTTTCCTACTCCCTCATAAGTCACACAGGGTGAGCACCCCTTTCTCCAGGAAGAACTTTCTGGGAGCTTCCTTCACCCAATGCTCAGTAAAAGACTTCTCCCACACGTACCTCTGTTGTAGTGATAAGTTTTCCTGATTGTCTCCTCCATTAGACTTGGAACTCTCTGAGCACAGAAGTTATGTTTCTTCATAACTTTCTTCTTATGTTTCTTCTTCATGACATTTCTAACATCTTCCTAGCACATTGCTGGCACAAAATAGGTACGAGTAAATGTTTACTTTGAATAAAATTGAGAAGTTCTCTGCTTAACATGGTGAAGAAATAAATATTAATTGAAGGTCTAAAGTGTGGAGCAGGGAGGTGCTGATGTCATTCCTGCTTGCTTCTTAAACCCTCAAGAAGCATGTAAGAAAGGAATCAGGAGTCATTTACCTTGTGTGTCCATTTTACTGGAAGAAAATGATGACCATTTTGATATCATTGAAAGACATTTGGTTTTTGTTCCCAGTTCCTGGCACAGACCTCCTAAAAGTTTTGGAATTTCCTGAGTGATAATTGGGACAGGAGCCTCTTTTGTTCTAATGAGGCAACTCTTTGCAGGCCCAGATAGCTCCTGGATGGCAGCTGGTCATAGCTTCAGTGGGGGCTGGTCACCAGAAAGACCTTCTGGGATTAGAAACTTGAAACTTTCAGCCCCACATCCAACCTCCAGGGAGGAAAGAGGGGTTGGAGATTGAGTTAATAACCAATGTCCAACAATTTCATCAATCCTGCCTACATAGTGAAAGCTCCATAAAAACCCCTAAACTATGGGATTCGGAGAGCTTCTGGGTTAGGTGAAGACACTGAGGTGCCGAGAGGATTGTGTGCCTTGTCCCTAGTACATTCCCCTGTGCGTCTCTTCCATTTGGCTCTCCCTAGTTGCATTCTTTATAATAAACTGCTAATAGTAAGTGAAGTGTTTTCCTGAGTTCTACAAGGCATTCTAACAAATTGTCAAACCTGAGGGGGGATCATGGGAACCCCCAATTTTTTCCAAATCAGAAGTATGAATGATCTGGGCACCCCACTTGAGACTGGTTCTGAACTCAGTACAGTCTTGTGGGACTGAACCCTTAAGCCTTTGGAGTATGGTGCTAATTTGAGGTAGTGTTAAGAATTGACACCTCAGCAATACAGAGAGAGCCCACCAATAAAACCAATCCCGATACCAACATCCTTGAAGAACCAAAACCCTAATAATCAATTACTTTGGTATGTGTTAATGTATTCTTACCTACGTAAAAGATAAGAAGAAGATGAATGACATACCTGTGTGATTTTGGGCAGTACATCAACTCCATTTTTAGTGTTTGGGGTTGTAGTTAGATACTTTTTTTTCCAAAAAGAAAGTTACAATCCATTTAATAAAAACAACGCGAGCTGCCATGTATGGAAAAAAAAAAAAAAAGAATTGAACTGAATTGTAGGATACCCAGTTGGTATCAGAATTGGTCGATGCCAGGAGTAAAAGCCACACATTTGATGTCAGAAGTATGAGTAAAACCAGCTCAACCATGAAGACAGCCTTTATTGTTCACTTTGGCAATAAAACCATCTCCTTCTATGAGGAAGGCCCAATCTCCCACCATGAGGACGAAAGCTTGCAACTGGGTGAGTATTTCTGGAGTGGGGTTTGCAGGGAGTGGTGTACAGAGGAGGTGATATGGTGAAGAGTTCTTAGGGGCAGGAGCTCGTTTGGGGGGAAGATGGAACTCTGGAGCCTCCCATTTGCTCTGGAAGTTCTGAAAGATCTCAGAGAGCTTCCTTGGGAACAATTCAGTTACCCTACCCCAGAGAGAGAAATGCAAACCACACTGTAGAGCACAAGGCTGCTCTCTAACTTGGCAAACCAACACCCCGATGGTGGCGCAGAGTTAGCAGTGAATGTGGCGGTGGGAACGTGGTACGGTGTGGATGACAGCTGCTTTGCCCTCAGTGTGCCAGATGCTTTGCTGGTTGCTTCTACCAGCTGTCTCATTTCATTCCTCTCAAAATCCTTTTGTAGATAAAGTACGATGATCCTTAGGATACAGATCAAGACATTAATTCTGAAATTCTGGGGGGAAAAAAAATCTGATTTGTCACATCAGAAGTCACAAAGGTTGCAAATGTTCCAAACTGTGTGTGTGGCTAGGACACATGATAAGCAGACCACTTACATTGCCTCAGTATTTTTCAAAGTGGGTTTTTTTTGGGGGGGGGCAGTATTTTATATATTAAAAATGTGAATACAGATTTTACTTAAATATGTAAAGATGAAAAGCACATCTGCAAAGGGGCCCCTGACTGGCTCAATTGGTGGAGCATGCGACTCCACCATGTTTTAAATTCCAGCCCCACGTTGGGCATGGAGACTACTTTAAAAAAAAAAAAAAAAGCACATCTGCAAAGAAAGTGTGCATGGTAGCAGGTTTTCAGACCACATCCCAGCCCTTCCAGTGGTGTCAGAGTTCTTTGACAGAAAAGGTTGAAACACAGGGATGCGTGAGTCCTGAGGTCTCACAGCTTGCTGTAATGGGGCTACAGCTATCTACTGAAGTCGTGAAGAATGTCAGAGTGCTTTCAGGCATTAACTCTGGAGTGTAATTTCTTTTTCTGTTTCTGAGAAGGAGAGAGATGGCTTTATTAATCAAATGTGCAAGCAACATTTGTTCTCCAGCTATGAGTTTGATGCTTCCCATCCAGTGGCATGCCCTCCGTTGCCCCCATCTACCCTTTATCCCAAGCAAGACATGCTCTGGAAGTACAGTCAATCTGGAAAAAAAAAAATCAAGTCTGTTAGTGTCTAATGGCATCACATGTAAACATTTGGATGGATTTCTCACTTAATCTTGAGGGTATATGAAGGGTGGTCTGGTCAAAAATCTAGGTAAAGTAAAGTTTGTGAAATTTACTTTCAGGGGCCTCAGGGGGCACCTTAAAGGGAGAGACAGCTGTCCTCCAGAGTATCTGAAACTGAGTTTACTTGGGATGTCCCAATGACTTCTGATCTACATGTTATAATATCCATGGAAAGAGACAAGAGTTTCAAATATGTGTCCCAAATTAGAAGTCTCAAAGACAGGTGCTCTGAATTGATCCACTATGGAGCTAATTCTTGTATGGGCAACTCTACCATGTGAGTCCCAGGCTTCATTTATACGACCCAAGTGATCCTGGGGGCTGGGCTGGGGACAGCTAGTAACGCACGTTTCCCCAACTGAGCAGCTTTCCTTTTACATCTGCCTCCTTTGCACTGAGTCTTTCTCTAATAAGCAAGTATTAGCTGACTATTGCTCCGTACCCCAAAGAGTGCTAAACATCTACTCAAAAAGGTAATCCACAGCAGATTAGAATTTTCAGGCTAAAAGCCACGGGGAACATCACCTTGTCAAAACTTCTTACTTTAACAGTGAGGAAACAGGCCCATAGTTGTGAAGTGACTTGCCTAGGGTCATAAAATTAGCTAATAGTAACACTGAAATAGGACAAGTGTCTCCTGACTCTCATCTGAGTGCTCTGTTGTTCCAAATAGGACACCATCTTTTCCAGGCAAACATGGAATTTTAAAAAATATTTGCCTCATTTGGTCACTTTTCTCTGAAACTAGGGAGCTCATGACTAATGATAGAAACTGTGAAATTGAAAATAATTTCTCATTGGGGCATTCTTTTTTTTTTCTTAAACAATCTGTCTTTTCTATGCCCTGAACTACTTTTTTTTTTTTAAGATTTTTATTTATTTATTTGACAGAGAGAAACACAGCGAGAGAGGGAATACAAGCAGGGGGAGGGGAGAAGGAGAAGCAGGCTTCCCGCCAAGCAGGGAGCCCGATGCGGGGCTCGGTCCCAGGACCCTGGGATCATGACCTGAGCAGAAGGCAGACACTTAACTACTGAGCCACCCAGGTGTGGGGCATTCTTGTTGAGCATATATTCCCTCTCCTTCCTCTTCCCATGAAAGGAGTAGACTTTTCCACACCAGTAGAGGGCTTAGCCATGTAACCTGTTTGGCCAGTGAAATGTGAATATCCGAGCAGAGGTATGCTGTTATAGTGTGGGTTCTGTGTTCTCTCCCTTTCCCACAGGAAGGACATGCTCCAGCCTCCTACTGCTCCTTCATCCTGGGTCCTAAAATAGAAAGACATGAGACAGCCCTGAACCCAACTGGATGCAATGCTGCTAAAATGCTGACCTACAGACCCGCAGGCAAGGATACAGGTTTGTTGTTGGAATCCACGGAAATTTGGGGGGATTATTTATTATACAGCATATCACGGCACAAGCTAATACACTCAAACAAACCTTTCCTTAGATGTCCGTCCCTTTCTCTCACCTTTCCCATTGCAATGTAAAAGCTCAGATTGTCACTTCATTTTTCAGATGAGAAAATTGCATCCAGATTAGATGCTTTTTATAAGGGCACATTGGAAAAGCACAGAGGCATAGCTGAAATTAAAATTCATATATCCTTCCTGATTTTCAGAGTTCAGTTTCATATGGTATTTAGATGTGAGATTCTTAGTACTTTTCAGGTTGAAAAAAACCAAGGCTATTTGGTTTTGTCTCTATCTATCATCTATCATCTATCTATCTATCTATCTATCTATCTATCTATCTATCTATCATCTATTATCTATCATCTATCTATCTATCATCTATCTATCATCTGTCTATCTATCTATCATCTATCTATCTATCTATCATCTCTCTCCCCTACCCCCTTTCTCTATTTATCTATCTATTTATCTATCCAACTATGGATTTCTTTGAACTGGAAAAAGATAGTCTTAAAATTCCATTGTGTTTACTGTTGTGGGGTTGACATTTTCGTGTCTAAAAAAATCAGCTGAGTTGATAATGTTTAGTTGATCTGTCTGCATCTGATTATGCTTGTTTCCAGATCCAAGCAGTTGTTAATGAAACAGTTGCTGTTTTGTTGACAGAACATTAATTACTTGATCTTAGGACTCAGTAATTGCACAAGCCCCCTCTGTATACATTACTAATTACATTAGCAATTATATGGCATTTTAAAGACAAAGAAATGACTGAAGCAATTGCAATGTCACAGGTAACCTGCTGTTAGATTTCAATCACATTCCTCACGTGCCCATGATGTGCGGAAGCAGTTTGATGCATCTGTGACACTGACTTGAAGAAATGGCCTAAGACTTCCTGTCTATGAACTCACTGCCTAGTGGGAAGCCCATCAGGTGGGCAGAGAGAGCGTCAGGAAAGTCTCTTTAGCTCTCATTCCTTTCTTTATTGAAAGAAAAATTGGAGAAAGAAAGGTTGGGCGAGAAAAATTCATTTGCTTATTTAACAAATATTTATTGAATTTCACTATGTTAGGTGCTAAGTGACAGACCGAACCATGACTCTGTAAAGTTTATAATCTCTTGGAGAAGACAGATGATAAGCAACAAACACTAAAATAAATTGGTAATGGTCAGAGTAATGCTTGGTAGTTGCTGTAACAAACAACCCCCAAAATCTCAGCGACTTCATATAATAAAATTTTATTTCTTGCTCAGATCTTTGTCAGCTCTTTCCAAGTGGTGGCTCAAGGATCCAGCTCTCCCATGTTGTGGCCCCATCATTCTGGACTTCTTAGTTCCCAACTGTGTGGACAGAAAAGAGTGTGGAGGATCTTGGGAGACTTTAGAGACCAGGCTTAGAGGACCATATACCATTTTCCCTATATTTTACTGGCAGAAACTGGTCACATGGCTACTTCCTCCCTGCAAAAATAGCAAGAAAATGTAAAGGGAAAGGAAGAAGAAGAGTGAGAAACACTCACCCAGTGTTTGCTGCACTACATAATTACAGATGGTGACTTGCTATGGAGGACAAGCATGCAGTACAATGAAAGCATGCAATGAGAACCTTCACCCACTTGGCATCCAGCATCCATTCCTCCTTCTGATAAGAATGCACTCATTGCCTAAGAAGGGAATTACTCTCCATTGTGTGCAGTTTTCACAGAGCTACTATCATTCAAGTTCTCTCTTCTTTCAAGCAGGAGAACTTGAATGGCTCCACCCTATTCCTATGAGGCTTGTGCACACGGTATGAGCTGTGCCCATCAGATTCTCTCCCTGGACCTTAACCTCAACTGAAAAGACACAAAAGACAAGGAAAGGTAAGATCTCATTCTCTGCTGTGAAAGCACGATAAATAGACCAACCATCAGTTCTTGTCACTTGGATCCATGTATCACTGGTCCCTGCCCTTCCTGAGCCTATTTATCAGTTTTCCTTTCAATCTCTGCATGCTCTCAATTGTTCCAATTAGTTCCCTTTCTTCCTGGATTAACCAGTTGGTTTCTGTGCTTGCACCAAAGAACTAATTGACACAGGGGTATGATTTAGATTGTGAGGTTCAGTGTCTCTCTAAGGAGAAGCATTTTTGCTGATACATGAAGCATAAGTTGGGGTTAAGTAAGCAAAGAGTGGGGAAAATGTTTTTTTTTTTAATTTAAATTCAATTAATTAACATATAGTGTATTATTAGTTTCACAGGTAGAGTTCAGTGATTCATCAGTTGCACAGAACACCCAGTGCTCATTATATCACGTGCCTTCCTTAATGTCAGTCACCCAGTTACCCCATCCCCCCACCCCCCTCCCCTCCAGCAACCCTCAGTTTGTTTCCTATGATTAAGAGTCTCTTATGGCTTGTCTCCCTCTCTGATTTTGTCTTGTTTTATTTTTCCCTCCCTTACCCTATGCTCCTCTGTTTTGTTTCTTAAATTCCACATATGAGTGAAATCATATGATAATTGCCTTTCTCTGATTGACTTATTTCGCTTAACATAATACCCTCTAGTTCCATCCACATCATTGCAAATAGCAGGATTTCACTTTTTTTTTTTTTAAAGATTTATTTATTTATTTGAGAGAGAGTACATGAGAGGGGGGAGGGTCAGAGGGAGAAGCAGGCTCCCTGCCAAGCAGGGAGCCCGATGCGGGACTCGATCCAGGGACTCCAGGATCATGACCTGAGCCGAAGGCAGTCGCTCAACCAACTGAGCCACCCAGGCGCCCCAGGATTTCACTTTTTTTGATGGCTGAGTAATATTCCATTGTGTGTGTGTATACATGTATACATGTATATATGTATACACACACACACACACACTACATCTGCTTTTATCCATTCATCTGTTAATGGACATCTGGGCTCAGGAAAATGGTTTTTAAGGCAGAGGAAATCATATGTGCAGAGGCCCTGAAGTAGAAAAAATTATAGTGTTTGAGAATCATAAAGTATGCCTGTTGTGCAGTGAAGAAGAAGATGAAATAAGACAGAACTGGAGAGGTGGGAAAATAATAGATTTCCAATGCTTTGTAAGCAATGTGAAGGATTTTATCCTAAGTGCAATAGGAAGCCACTGAAGGTTTTAAAAAGGAAAGAGGTATGACTCAATCAACACTGAAAAAACAAACAACAACACACTCAAGCTAATCTGTGAGACACAGACAGAAAGGAGTCAGAGTAGAAGCAGGAAGATCACTCAAGAGTTCAGGAGTCAACAGACGGGAGGCGTCTCTCGGTGGCTAGCTGAGCAAATGGAGAAGACACTCTGGATATGTTTTGGGATAAAGCTGACACAGCTTGGTGATGAATAATATTCTGGAGGCAGGGAAGGGGAGGCAAGAATGACATCAATTTTATAGTTATTGAGATTTAGAAAAAAATAACAGAGGACTAGGTGAGAGTGACAGAGTTAAGAATGCCTTTTTGGCGTGTTAAGCTTGAACTGCCTTGGAGACTCCAAGTAGTCATGTCAAATGTTGATATATAGGTCTGGCATTCAGAAGAGAAGTCTGAGTTAGAAATATAACATAACATAATAAAATAAAAAGAAATATACTTGTAGAAATGGACATAGACACTATATTTGAAGCCATGGAGAGGAGGAGAGAAGATACCTGATAACACCTGAGTCTATTAGCCTGGAAAATAGACAACAAAATTGCACCACCCCACCCACACACCTAACCAGGTTTGGACTATGTTGTCTCCCTCTAAGCCCTGGGCTTTTAAGCAAGCCAGCCCTTCCTGCCCTACTCGGCCAGGACACAGTTGGAATGGCTCCCTCTTTTCCCAAAACTTCCCTTGCTCCCCAGTCATTTCCCCTCACCTTTCAGCCCTCTTGCCTAGTTTCTGGGTTAAACAGCCCTGCTCCCCCTCTCCTCAAATCTGAAGCCGACCGTGTTGCTCTAGTGTAGCCCCTGGCTCTCTCCCTCAATGGCTCATGCTGGTTCTAATCTGTGGGTTATTTCTCCTTCCCTACCTGATCCAGCCTGGCCTCTGAGATGCGCCCCTGGTGAGCTCCAACCTATGAGAACTAGCATCGGTTCATGGCGCCTGGTCATTGGCCTGACTACTGCTTTCTAGAGTTGAGGGAATGAGTAAAGCCGAGAGAGAACTGCAGATGCTGGCTTCTGGGAAACCAGCCTGATGACCTGAAACTGGAGAAGTTCCCCAGACGGTGTGAGGGGGATTGTCCTCCTGACCCCTCACCTCCCCACAGCCCTGGGTCACCTTCCTCTGTTTACTGAGAACACGCCTGTGAGAAAACCCGGGCCTGCCTGGGCTGGTGAGCAGTGTATGAGAGAATTTGAACTTTATCCATCTTGACATTTCTGCCTTGGTATGTGTGACTGTTCTTACACATATGGATTGGATCAAATGAGATAATTTATGCAAAAGCACTTTGCAATTTTTCAAGGGCTATCCACGCAAGGTATTGCTTGTTGCTATTATTACCATCCCACAGGAAAGGGTTTCCTCTTTAACATACCCATGTATTTGATTAAAATTAGGTGGTAAATTGGCAAACCCATAAAGTGCTTTCTTGTGTCGTCTGTCACCTGTACCTATGGTGACCATATGGCCTGCGTTTTCCAGGATGGCCCAGATTCCACGTCATTTTATTCTTTTTTTTTTTTTTTTAAAGATTTTATTTATTTATTTGAGAGAAAGAGTGAGAGAGAGAAAGAGCACAAGAGGGGGGAGCGGGAGAGGGAGAAGCAGACTCCCCGCCGAGCAGGGAGCCCGATGCGGGACTCGATCCCGGGACTCCAGGATCATGACCTGAGCCGAAGGCAGTCGCTTAACCAACTGAGCCACCCAGGCGCCCCCACGTTATTTTATTCTTTATGACAAAAGTGATTTGCTAAATTCTCAGCTCAATGTCACTCAACTATTAAGCCTCTGTAAGATTTTTCTCAAAACTAAATTCATAAGTCAAAATAAAGACCTTTGTCAGACCATGCGTTTCAGTTTTTTGAGAGGGCCACACTCCACATGTATTAATGTCACCCATGTAGAGTGGGCCGTACTTTGAGAAGTCAAAGCACCTCTTTCACCTTGGGTGTCCCCATTTGGGGAAAATGAGAAGACAATCAATTCTCGTCCTTTTCACAAACGAGTGGATTCAGGCCAGAATGGCATCGTGAGGACAGCCACCCTGCAATTCGTCAGATTTCCATGGAAGGGAAGAGACGAACGAGGACTGGCCACGATATCTTTGTCCCTCATCAGTGCTCCCTCCTCAGTTTTCTTTCTGGTCATTCAACGCTTGCCAACAGACATCCTGCAGCAGCAGTGCTAGTGGTTTGGCTTCCCATTGTCCACACATGCTCCGTGTCCATGGCTGTGGGAGTCAGTCATGAACGGAGACTGAGAGAGGAGGAGGGACTGTGGGCTGCCTGAGTGTGGCCCACAGGCTTATTCTTTAGGGAAGAGAAGGAGGTTCGTGGGTTCCTTCTCTGAGACATGACTTCCTGATCTATTCTGAAGTAGCTGGCACCTGAGAGATGTTTCACAAATGGCTGTGTCCTCTTCACTACTTCCTCTTCTTCCTCCCCTTTCAAAACACATTCTCCCTTCAACAGCCTTCTCCTAAAATCCTAGCACAGGGGCTTGGCTGGTATTGCTCCATAAGGGATTCAGTGGAGAGGTCACTTTTGGTCTTCAAGTCAAGAGAATGTCTATGAGTGAGAAGAGTCCAGAACATTGTAAGACCGTTTGCATTTGAGCTTCAGTTAAATCTGGCCCTGACTCCTCCACCAATGAGCTCTGTGAACCGGGGCAGCCACTGAGTCCAGTAGGCCTTCCCTTTCTCAACTGTGCTGTGAAGGAATGGCCTTTCCAATTCCATGGAACAGTTCAAAGAACTGAGCGCTTTTTGTCCCAGATACTCTTTCACGGGGTCTCATAGTTTAAGCTTCTGTACTCAGTGTGGCCACCAGGTCACACAGTCACAATTTTTCTGCTTGTATAAATCAGGTTTGATGAATGTTGGAACAAACACCTGCTAGATGCTTAGCACGTTTACACACCTTTTTCTCATTGAAACTCATCTTTTAAATAACAGCATAAGGATGAGATACAAGAAAGTATACAAAAGTATCCAAGAGAGAATGAGGACTCTGAGTTCACAAAGCTCACACTCCTTGCTGAAGGTCACTCAGATGAGAAGCAGCCAAAGCAGGATTTCAACCCTGGTGCTATGGTTCCAGGGCCAGTGTTCTTCTCAGCACATCACTGCAACTGCATTCAGAAGGTGGGTGTTCTTTAAAAGAACCAAAAAAAACCAAAAAACCAAAAAAAAAAAACAAAAAGAAAAGAAAATTCTGTAATCCAGTAAGCCCCAAGCCTTCTAAAATTAAAGTTTAGAGAAGAGTATAAGTCATTTTGAAAAGTGAATCACCACAGCTGCCTGGCCAGAAGAACGTTTAAAAGGAAACAATTCACAAAGATATATATGTTACCATTCTGAATCTTGATAGTATTAAGATCATTTCACGTCTAACAAGCGCGCAGATCATTCTTCAGTATTGAGGCTGGCCTTGGGACTCTTCTGGTATAGACTTACAGAAAGAAACTCCATATTCTACAAGGGCCTAAAGAAGGACATTTGAAACAACTCATTCTGAGCCAAGAGTCACATTTATACTACATGGATAGGAATACAAGGAGGGTTGTGGGGACATGTAGGGCAGGATTTGGAAGGATGGAAGGAGAGGGAAGGACAGTTTTTGATCCTCTAGTATATGCCAGAAAACAAGAAGTATGTTTTCACATATGCTGCCTCATATCATCACCGCCACAGTGCCATGAGGCAGGCAGTGTGATCCTAGTTTTGCTAACGAGGAAGCTGAGCTTAGGGAGGATAGTGGCTTGCTTGTGGCCACTCAGCCAGTGGAAAAAATGGAAGAATCTTGCGTGAATCCCAGCATTTTTGCTTGAACAAAGGGATGCATGGTATTGCCATTTGCTGATGTAAAAACTTGGATTGGAGGATCAGTTTTGGGGGAGACCCAAAAGTTTATTTTGGACGTGTTGGGTTGAGCTTTCTGTGAGATATCCAAATAGGCAGATGTCTGAACCTCAAAAGAGGAAACATAAATGTGAGAGATGTCAGCATATAAACAGGTACTAAAAGCCAGGCTCGCGCTGAGCATGTAAACTGGAGTAAGCTCTACAGATAGAGGTGACCATGTAGTTTGTCATCCAAATCAGACACTTAAGAACAAGAGGTATTATTATTAATAACTACACTGGGACACAGTCCTTGGCAAACTAGAGCAATTTTGTCTTCTCTCTCTAGAAGGTAATCTGGCAATATTTGAAAATTACAAACGCACATGTTCATTCACCCACTTCTGGGAATTTATCCTGCAAATTAACTATAAATATTCTCACATATGTACAAAAATGACACTTTTACTAAGTATTAATTACATAATTATTAATAATGGCATAAAATAGAAAACAACCTAAATGTCAATAAATAGGGAAATGGCCAAATAAAATATATACATTAAAAAATGGAAGGTATGAAAGAGGGAAAAGCACCGCCCCCTGGGCCTGGGGACACAGTCAGAGAATGGTGTGAGCCTGCAGCCGCTGCCACCTCCATCACAGCTGGGCCCTGGGCTTTTCTCCTAGTCCTCATCCTTCCTGCTCCTGGGGGGCGGGGGTGGGGGCACCGCCCTCCAGAGAGAACCCTCTAGGGCTTGGGCTCTGCCCTGTGTTAAAAAAAAAAAAAAGGAATACAATGCAGCCATTAACAACCAAGCTTCTATTTATGTGCAGTGGAAATCTTCAAGAAGTGTAATTATATTTTTTTATAAGTGTATAGTCTGTGTTACTGTGTGTGGAAAAGAGGGGCAGAGGATAATATGTACATGTATATAGAGAGACTACCTCTGGGAAAATACACAAGAAATTGCTAAAATTGATTACCTACAAAGAAGGAAATTGGGTAGCTACAGGACAGTTGTCAGAGGGAAACTTTTCAGCATATCTTTTGACTATCTTGAATTTTGAAACATGTTAAAATATTACTTCTTAAAGAAAAATAATTAACTTAAAATTAAAGATCAGTCAATAAAATAAAGTCAGCCTGAACTTTAACCTGTAGAAGAAATGTATAGTGAAGGTGGTCACGTTTTATACACTTTTTTTCTTACAAGGTGAAAACCACAAATACTCAGATCATGCAGGAAAAACAGTACTTCTCATGCATGGTAACCATAACCTCTGTCACGGGTGCCTGGGTGGCTCAGTCGGTTAAGCACTGCCTTCGGCTCAGGTCATGATCCCAGGGTCCGGGGATCAAGTCCCACATCAGGGAGCCTGCTTTTCCCTCTGCCTGCCACTCCCCCGCTTGTGCTCTCTCTCTCTCTCTCTTTCTCTCTCTCTGTCAAATAAATAAGCAAAATGTTTAAAAAAAAAAAAAGATATCCTCTGTCAGACCAACAGACTGACACTAAATCAAAGATGGCAAAATACATCAACCAGCATTCCAGATGAATACCTGGAAAAGGGCAAAAATAGCATCCAGATGGACAGTGAAGATTAGGAAAGAGGCTCCATGCACACTTGTAACCAGTGCACCAGGATGGCAAGGCTCCCTATCTGCTCATGGGTGAGCGAATAGAAAATCACAACACAAATCTATACAAATGTTCCACAAATGTAAAGATAAAGAGTGTAGAGCCCAAGATGCAGAGAAATAGCATATAATTTAAAATAATTTAGAAGAAAAAGAAACTAAAATGTTAAACAGAAATTTTATTTTATTTATTTATTTATTTATTTTTTAAAAGATTTTATTTATTTATTCATGAGAGACAGAGAGAGACAGAGGCAGAGGGAGAAGCAGGCTCCCCGCGGAGCAGGGACCCCGATGCGGGACTCGATCCCAGGACCCTGGGGTCATGACCTGAGCCGAAGGCAGACGCTTAACCGACTGAGCCACCCAGGCATCCCTAAAGAGAAATTTTTAGAAGTAACATGAAAGGGGCGCCTGGGTGGCTCAGTCGTTACGCGTCTGCCTTCGGCTCAGGTCATGATCCCAGGGTCCTGGGATCGAGCCCCGCATCGGGCTTCCTGCTCCGCGGGAAGCCTGCTTCTTCCTCTCCCACTCCCCCTGCTTGTGTTCCCTCTCTTGCTGTGTCTCTCTGTCATATAAATAAATAAAATCTTAAAAAAAAAAAAGTGACATGAAATAACAAGAAAAAAGATATATATACACACACACACACACATGCATATACATATATTTATATATATATATATACAGTTGCAGACTGAAATTAAAAGTTGTAAAAAGTTTCAGCCACCATGGAGAACTGGTACCAGGCTAGTCCTTCTTTCTTAAACAATGAGGAAACTAGACAAAAAATATGAAATGACTCCTTTTCAGACATTGGAAAGGAGCAGAGAAGGACTGTGGCAGTGAAGGAAAAGAAACAGTGGGAGAAATCATGGCCCTACAATTACTGTGGGCTTTCTGCCCGAAGGCACTTTCTGGACCTCAGCACAGTGAGGAGGAGCTCAAGCAGAGCAGGGCCATCTCGCTGGGTTGAGGAGACAGAGATCTAAGTTTACATGGTCTAAGGTGGCTGGAAGTTGTGGGGCAGACTATTGGAGAAAAAGAAGCAATGCAGAGAGAGAGAGAGACCCAGAAATCTGCAGAGGAGTCTTCTAGAGTCTGATGCTAAATACTGAGCTATCCATATATAAGGTGCAATTCCATGAGGCCATACAAAATCTACTGGTAAAGCTGAACAATTG